TTTTGAATACATTTTCAAGGTAGATGATAATTCAGTCTTTTAACGTTCCCTTCCATTAACAAATGCTTCAATCATTGCAGGGAAAACATTCAAACTTAAAGTTCAATCTTTTTACAAGTTGAATAAGTATAACTCAGAAACTGACTTACCATTGCAATTTCACAAAGTTTGAAATAAAAAGTGATAAAAAATTTTTTCAAATAATTTGCAATAAATATATTGCTTGTAAGTGATTCTTAAATTGTCTAATTGATAGAAATGATTTGACGATTTTCGGTTTATTTTTTTAAAAAAATTTTTATTTAAAAAATAAAAATAAAAATCAATACTTTTATATGTATTGATCAAATTATTTTTTCATTTTACATAAATTTTTGACGTCAAAAGTTAAATTATGGTTTACAAGAAAGCAACTACGATCCAACTTTGAACAGAACTTAGAAGGCAAGGTCAAAGTTGCGTGTTATTATTGAGATAACTTGCAGGGATACAGATAAATTAATCGCTGTAAGCTCACTGCACAGCCTTGACCTTAATAGTATGAGCTAAGCGAAATTACATAAATTAAATTAGAATTGTTTCTCCTTGCTGTGATTGACATATAATTCAGCTGTTACGTTCGCTACTGTTCCTGTCAACTGCAACACTTTTTACGTAAGTAAAATCCTCAAAGATGAAAAGAAGGAGTCAAAATCTCCCATTGCAGTGTTTGAATTCTATAAAAGCTAAATTTCCTTGCTTTTTTCCGGTATTTCAAATCTAAAGATCATATATTTTGCGAAAGTACAACCTTTGTGTACATTGAATCGACCTTTGTGTGCATTAAACGATTCAATTTACACCAAGGTCGAACACGTGTCAATCACGAAGGTACTCTGACATCATCAATATAGCATAGATGGAATGAGTCGGAAAGATATGCCGAATGTAGTATGTGCAATACTTCAAGACCCGGCCCAGGTTTACTTTTGAAATCGTTATTTATAATATTACTTTTATTTTCAGTTGGATTAACATGTTTCTCGTAACTGTGTTTTCAACCATTACGTAAACAGTGTTGCAGTTGACAGGAATAGTAGCGAACGTAACGGCTGAATTATATGTCGGTCACGTTACAGACAACGTTGGGTGATATCAAAATTGAATTGTACTGCGACTTATGTCCTAAAACGTGTGAAGTGAGTTTAAACTTTTATAGTAGTTATAGCATTAACTTACGATGCGTTTCATGGATTTAGTTTGAAATAAAACATCTTTTTCATAAAATTCTCGTAAAATTATTAATAACCTTTTCAACGATAAGTAAGGTTATCATAAGATTACTGCTATTGTTCGTAGAGTTATCTTTCGCATACAAAGTTATTGTGTCTTATTTTTAAAATTGAGTTATTCTCCATACTAAAACATCCATACAGAGGACTTTCACCTAAGATAATATAGCCTCCTGAAGTGAATAAAGTAAGTTAATACATTTTTTTTAAACAATTATTAAAAGTTTTCCAAGAACATTGTACGGATTTAAAACCTTTTTTCGTAGTTTTAGCATAGTATCACTTTGTTATTATCTGTACCTTTTGCGTAAAATGAACTGTTATGCAGAATTTCTTAGTACTGCCATTATTATTTTCTGAGAGAGATTAGCGCAGTTTTTATAATAACTGATAATTAATAATAATATGTGGTATGCGTATTTAAATAAATTAATTTTCAGAACTTTTTGGCATTGTGTGCTAGTGGTTACTACAATAATTGTATTTTTCATCGTAATATAAAGGATTTTATGGTACAAACTGGTGATCCAACTGGTACTGGAAAAGGTGGTAATAGTATTTGGGGTTCACCAGTAGAAGACGAATTGCATCTAACTCTAAAAGTATGATGATTTTCATTATTAGTTCATTATTTAAATTTCGTTTTTTTTATTTTGATCTATTTTCAAACATGAATTTTTCAGCACGACACCAGAGGTGTTGTGTCTATGGCTGGAAACGGACCTAATACTAGTCGATCACAATTCTTTATTACTTACGCTAAACATCCAACATTAGATCTGAAGTATACAGTGTTCGGACGGTATGTATTATGGTTTTTATTGTTACTTCACTAGACCAATTTCAATAGTGGTTAATCTGTTTGACCTCTTATTTTAATTTTTGTACTTTTTTACTAAGAAGTTGTAGATTATTTGTGGCATAAATTTGCTTGAATTTATATAACATCATTATTAAAATATCTTCTAAAACTTCTCTTCTTCAAATGCAATTGGCTCTGTTAAATTTGCAGAGTGATAAACGGGTTTGACGTCTTAGACGAGTTGGAGAAGGTTAAAGTTGATTCTAAATATCGACCAGTCGTTGAACAAAAAATTTGCAATGTTATCATTCACGCTAATCCGTTTGCCGATATGGCAGCCAGCACTTGAAATTAATTTTTGGAAACGTGTTTCATGGGCGAATATTAAATATTGTAGTCATATTTCTTACATGCTGGGCAGGAATCAAAAATGTGCTTTTTCTAATAAACCCATGTTACTCCAAGATAGTAAAATAAACGATAAAATTAGTGAGGATAGTAAAAAACATGCAGTTGAGACAGAGGCATGTTTGGAAAGGCTGCGAGAAATGCAAAAGTATTTTGAGCAGTATGCAGAAGAATATGTTGAAGAGGAAGCTGAAGCAGAATATACGGCTGATGTCCCGAGCAAAACCGGTGAACAAGTTTTGTTTCTAACTTAGTGCAGGACACTGTAAACATCTACATCACTTTCTTATTCTCTTTTCTCTTTTTAACAAAATGCGCCATTGTAATACGTTCATTTATCAACTACTACGTTAGCCACAAAAACATATTTTTCAAATGTCGTTCTGATATGATGTCAAAGAGATATGTTTCTGGATAAAGTTTGCAGTTACGCTAGTTACGTCATCCTTTTCTATATTATAGATCGTTTGCGAGAACGTCTTCAACCACTGCTGAACTTAGGACAAGATTCCTTGACAAGCAGATTCAGTGCTAGCGAAATTGTAAATATCTTACGCGCGGAACGCGCAGAAGACATTGTTTGCATTAGAGTGCCTATTCATGACGCTGCTGATAAATATGTTATCATATGTACACCGCATAATATGCGTCACGCCGATGCTATAGTGCTTACTTTACGAAAATGTTTCAAGTTGAAAACTAATAGTTCTGAGGTTTATTTTACCACTTCTTTTTTTCCATTTTTCTCATGTCAGCAGATAGTATTTTTGTTAAAAATAAACATTGAACTTTTATCCAAGTAATTAGCATCATTTTTTATGTAAAATTTAATCATGTTTGTCTACATGTACTCCATTGTTCGTATTTCTTTCAAAGGAATGTTTTCAAAAAGTTTTAAGAAGTGAGTACAGTTGTTACGGTTATCTTAGATAGTGTTAAGAATTTAATTTGAAACATATTACTTAAATTCTTCTATTTTGTTATTGCTTTTAAAGAGTTTTTTCATTTGAAGGTACAGCCACCGAGAAAAGCGAAAGTCGGTCATTGGTTATGTTACATTCTGGAAGACATTTCGCTCCATATAATGTCTCATGAAGCGCGATTAAAATATGATCTTGAATCCCTTTGGGGTATTGGATGGGAAGAAAGTTTAGATGACGATGTTGATTTAAATATTCCTATGCCCAGTACAAGTTAATGCTTTCCATGCCTTTTTTGATGCTAAAACATTATGGATGCATAGTCAGCTATTGTTAGCGGAGGTAAAGATCGTGTTGTAACAGTAATTATTTAAAAAATTAATGACTTGGAAAGTGTTTTGCAAGTTTAGTAGACAATATGGGGACTTGTTTTTCCTTGTGCTCGTAAACGGTAATTATTTTATTTTGATCTAAAACAAAGAACGGGGCAGCATGTTGAAGGTAATTTGAAAGAAATTGCTGTAAGACATGACAAACAAGTGTATTTGAAGGCTCTTGCTTTGAGGTATTATTTTCTGTCAATCCATCCATGTTACATCTTCTAATATGAATAATAATAAATGACCTTGCATATAAATTGTTTTGGTTGAATACGTTTGAACTTCGAATACTATTATTACTATGTTCGTTTTATGTTTTGTTTGCTTTTATAAAAAATGAATATTTATTGCTCTGTTTTATTTAGTTACAATAACCAGTCATAAAGAGTACAAAAAATTCCAAGACTGTGGTGCCATTCATCTTTATTTAACTTAAATATGGGATTTCACTGTTAGTACTGCTTACCAAAACATCGAAAATTAATGTCACTCTCCTTTTAACTTGATGTTTAGGAGACTTTTAGAAAAAACTGAAAAGTTTGGGTATTCTAACTTTCGTTCAGCTATCTATTGTTTGAGGTCAAAGTCATAGAGGATGCGTTTATTTTATAGAAATGGTAGTTACTATCTGAATTGTACTATGGAGAAATTATATTAATTCTGAACAATTGGTAACTTCTTTAGGCGTTAAGTAACTATGTGAGTTTTTTTGTTGCTTTTCTCGTTCTATGAATGTAATCTGAAAGAGATGAAAAATAAAAAGATTTAGAAATGTTTTGATATATTTGTAAATGGTTTTTTAGTTTTTATAAGCGTTTAAACATTCATCAGTTGGTGAAAATTTCCGGTCTTAATGCAGATATCTGAAAAGATTGATGGCTTTTGTGTAGGGCTCAAATTTTCGTAGTTTGTTTATAATACTGGTGATATAATCAAAATATTCAGTCAAGTTCAGCGAGTTTTCTAACTAAATTTGAAAAGATTACGCTAGGCATATTAGTCATGAGTGGGGTCGTGGCAGGTATTTTTTCTGAATTTTCATTCGGAAGGTTTTTTTCTTTTTAATTTGATTTTTCAATATTTGAGATAGATGAGTAGTAGGCACTGTTGCTATGTTTTTGCTTACAACTAATTTTATGGAAAGGCATAACTTTACTGATAATTTCAAGAGGCACGCAAGATGAATGTGTTGTAGACGCAATTTTTGCTCGTTTTAAGTAATTGAGTATTAAAATTAATTATTTCAATATAAGGTTAAGGTTTCAAACATATTTCTCTAAGCAAATGGATATAAGTTTTGTTGTTTTCAGAAAATAAAGGAGCCACTCAATTTCTTTACTTATATGAATGTGATATTTTGTTTTTATTTGCTATTTTTTATTAAGAAAGTTTGGTTTAATGTATATTTTTGGTAAAGTGATTAAATAACCAATGAATTGTAACGATTTTAGTTCGGTCGTGAAAAACAAGAAAAGTAGGCTAATTTAATTATTGACAACGGTGTAAAATGCATCTCACTTCTATGCGTGTTGTTCAGTGCAAAATTTAATTTAAGATAAATCTTGTCAGTAAAAAGGGAACTTTAAAGAAAACTAACTATTACTTAATGCTTGATTTGCATTCTTGCATGTAATAGTACTTGAAAGAATGCAATAAAACTAGTAAGTGATTCAGAAAAAGGTTTTCAGAATTCTTTTTTGAAAAAAAAGATTTTTGAGTGAAGAAAATGAAGACCCGTGGTTCTACACGTAAAAATGCAAATCACAATGTATTAGATAATGTAGAGAGTATCACAAATATCGAACTTTTACAGGATATATTTTGTGGTAACGGTATCAAGTTTCGATGGCAACTTTCTACAGTAGAATATAATCATTAAATCTTTATTATAATAAGCTAAACTAATAATTCGTTAATTAGAAGTGTATTTAATTTGAATTATAATAAGTGCACATTTGAAAATGTACTCTGACATCTGAAATATGCAAATTTCAGTCATTCTGTAATTAGAATACACTTTGATTGTAAATTTAGTACTTCAAGGAAGAAAAGGAGTTGTTGATAACTTTAATTACATTTAAAATCATTAACTACCATATTTAACTGTTAGGATTATTTAATTCATTCATTTTCAAAATTTCAATGAATCTTAACAACGGAAACACTAGAATCTTTTTCTTGAAGTCAGAAATAACATTACTGCGCTATTTTAGATAGTAATATTTTTAAGTGGTGAAAAATTTTTCAAAAAATAAAAAAGCGAAATGCAATAAAAAATTTTTATACTTCAAATTTACTGAGTAACTTTTATAAATTGATCGCTTCTGCGCGTAAAAATTTTGCATTACTTATCAAGACTTTTTAATCCTCTTAATTAGTCATAATTTGCTAATTTTTAAATATTTTTAAGTATATTTTGTGCAAAAATAATAATCAATTTGTTGATTAAATTATTATAATTCATTAAAATCATCAAATTAAGCAAAAAGATTGCTAGAATTTTTTGAGCTTTAAGTAAAAACAAATAAGTAAAATACTGCTAAATTTGAAAATGAAATGGATTCATTCTATGTCGGCGATAAAAATATTCACTCATGCTTTATTTATTGACTTATAGGCAAAGTTCGAAGAATATTCATACTTATTCAAGTATTTTAAATGTTTTCTCATGCGATAAAGTTTTTAGCAATCTAACGTAAACTTTTTTTACTTTATATATTGGAAAATAACAATATGTGTTGAAAGTTATGAAAAGTTATTCAAACATAGCCAAATTTTAAAATTTTGAAATAATTTTGCTTTTGTTATGTTTACAAATTTAGTATGTTTAGTTTTTTGAATAATTTTTCCTGACATAGATTTTAGAAGGCTTGTAAGTGGAAAATATAGAATGCTGTGTCAAATTTTTCCGTTGACACTGTTCATTTAATTTTTTTCTTATTTTTTAAATTTAAGCTTGCATTTTAAATCATATGTTATTTGAATTTTTTTATATTTGGGAGAATTGCTCTTGGATATGAAGTAGGGACGCGATACTTTCCCAACTGAAGCTGAACTGGGAATAAGACGGTAGGCCCAGATGAAGTTTATACCTTCTTAATTAAGGAGCGCACCTCCTTACATCAGATTTTAAAAATAAAAAAGCGGATTTGGATGGGGAGGAACAAGACATGATTCTACAAGAGATGACGTATCTGATCCCTTTTTCAAATAAGGGTAGTCACTTCAGGGTAATAACCTGATGACGAACTTCTAAAAGTTGACAATGAAATGTGTGGCACGAATCACACAATGAGATATTGTGATGAGAAGACTACCTGCTCACAGCCAATTAGGAACTGTTGGCTAGGTTCAAGATGCAAAGAATAGGCACTCTTGAACCTTCCGTATGCAGAGAACATGGAAACCTATACTACGTGATATGACGCTAAGAAAGCGTTCGATTCAGTCAGTCAAAACTATCTTGTTAATTGTACTGAAATGGCCCAACGTGCCAGCGTGGTTTCTGAAAAGCACGATCTCCAGGTGTCATCTGTATTAAAAAGCAATGGAGAAAAAAATACAGCGGGGAATCTTTCAAGGTGACAGCCTCTCTTTGCTTCTATTCGTTTTGTGTACTGAGCATGGAATCGTTGAGCCGTAAGCTCAATATGAGATACCTAAAAGTGGCATTCAAATCGATCGAGAATGCGCCTAATGGAACATTTACAATTTCCTAATTACCTTCTTGCCATATTCTACCTTGGGCCTTGTAGAGAGTATTGTATGAAAGATTCCCTAGCATTCGGAACTATTTTGGTCAGGATACGTGAATAAGATTAGCGATCCAAATAAATGCCAGGATTACTTTGCATCCGTGTTCCTCTTGTCATACACCGGATTATTCCGTCGATAAGACGTGAAATTGGGTAACTTCTATAAACGTTACAAAAGGAAATCAGTATATCTGATCAAGTGAAAGCATATATCCAATTGATAATATTAAAAAAGATACTTGAAAGCATCTTATGCAATCACCGTTTTGAATCGGCGAGAGTGTAGCGTTAGCGATAACACCGTAAGATTAAGACGTATAAAGTAATGAAAGTTGCATGAAACGAATCGGTACCTCTGTCAATAACTCGAAAAGAAAACTTACCTCCAGTTCATTATTATTTTACATATCTTGAGCAATCATTCATGAGTTTGTGAGGTTTTTAGCAAATATTACATTTCAGCTGCTGTTATTATTACACTTTTGAACTGAAAAGAAATTCTTCACTTGTTTTAATTAAGTAAGACTATATTTTCTTATCATAATTACCTCCATATTCAATCATAATTATGACAATCTTTTTGCTACACCTAAGGAGTTTCCATCTTCAAAAATCTAAAATTCATTTCTGCAACTTTTATTTCATTCTTTAGTGAATAATTTTCAATACAGACAACCATTAAAGGTTTTTTAAAGCATGGAGGTATCAATACTTGAAAAATTGAACTAAAATTAGCATTTATGCTTCAAAGTTATACAATTCGAAACGTATTTTATGTAGAAATTGTGCTTTGTATTTGATTATAGCAGTATTTGTATTCACAAATTACTGAAGAGGTAAATTAGAGTTAATAAGCAAACAAATATACTAGGGAATAATTTTTAAAATCAAACTTTTGTTTGATATTTATGTTTCAATTTTTTTTGAGCTGCAAAATGGCGTAACCCTTAAATTTTGCTAAATAAATTCATATAATACGCATTTGTTGTTTTTTAATGATTTTATATTACTTAATAAAATCCGACTAGTCTAATACTTTGCTCATTTTTGCATATTCAAACAAATTCAAGCATAAGCTGTTAGTGATGTCAAGTACAGCTATGCCATCTGCTATTTATTTCTTTTTTCATTATTTTAATAAAT